CCATGCAGTAATGACCTTCCTAAGGCATCACAGTCATTTTCTTTTCTGTCCTAACACATGCAGCTGTGAAAAGTAGTTTAAATGTAATCGACGTATGAGAGGAGCTCTGCAACCAGTCTAAATCATGCTAAGCTCTCACTCAAAGGTGTGATGTATTGAAGGACAGGAGTTTAGTGACCTACAAAGTGGTGACTACACATAGCCGTTTTAAAAGAATTATACCAAATGAATGGTTGAGCTATTGAAATCAGTAACAAACAGTTAGAGCACTCAGAATTTGAAATATGTTTTGACTGATCTCAACAATAAACATTATAAAATTACCATATTTAGTGGAAGGAGGGAAAAAAACAAAAGCAAAGAAAGATACAAATGCCTTCTTTTCCTAAATGTCATGTATAGTCAACAGTTAGTATACTTCAAGCTCCTTGATAGTGGAAGAAAAATATTTGGGGATGCTTGTTCATCATGTCCTATATTTTGTGGGGGGAAAAAAAAGGAATTCTGTGCTTGCTTTATCTGAATTCTCTCTTCCAGAAATGGGCACAGTCTTGCACAGGTTAATAGCAGGTGTCTGTCTTACAGAAACTGGGGCACTATTTGGTCTTTTTGATATAGTTTAATAATGAAGCCAAATTGTTTTCTCTAGATTCCTTTATTAATTCTAGGTATAAAGTGAACTTCGGCATTCCCAGCAGCCTGTTTTTCTCTTTGTAATGATAACTCATTTTCTTATAACAGTCGTTTGTCACGTGGTGGCTTGGTGGTCGTATGTATGACGTCATTTACTTGGACTTTTAGGAGTGACATCATATGTACGGCTGCTAAACTGCTGCATGGGACATCACTTAAACAGTTTTCTTCTGAAGAAATCATACCAATCATTTTCAGGCTATGAACACATCCTGATTATTAAGTTGTGAATTATTTCTTTCTTTTTAATAAAGATATTTATAAATGAATGAGGCATTCCTTTATTGTATCTAACATCATTTATATTTCCATCTGAAGTAACTGATGGATGGATGGGAAGGGTTTTTAATGTGCAGTAATGGACTCTGAACATTCACAATTTTTTCAATACCTTAGGTAGTAACCAGGTCTTGGCTTTTTTATGGTGAAAACATGTGTTTTAAAACTTAATTCCTAAAATACCTAGCTATAATCATTAAAACATAGTAGCAGAGGTGATTCCTAATCATTAATTTCATGAGAGCACACACACACAGACACATAGAGACTCGTGGGACATTCCCAGCCTCTCCCATTAGCATGATACACACTAAGCTTTCCCCCTGTGCAGCCATGCCCAAGCTCCTGCTACTTCTGATAAGAGAATAACGACCCAGAGATTTTTTTCTGTCCCATTTGCTCTTTCCCAACCCCCACAGTAAGGAGCACAAGAAGACTAAAATAAATAATAATATCTGACATCACAAACTGTACCAAGATTTTTGTCTGAGCCCCAGGAATATAAGGCTGGATCATCAGCCCACTGAACTGACTTCGGGGAGGTCAGGCTTTAGGCTCTGAGTCCTGCAGTAGTGGTGGACGTGTGATTCTCCTACGCGCAGTAGAAACCACCAAAATTGCAAACAGAGGTGTGACTGCTCAACCCCCAGCAAGCCACCAAATTAATTTTTCATTAGTCTGCTGAAATGGTCATCTGATTTTAAGGTAGAAGAAAATATTGTTCAAACTTCCACAGCCAGCTTTTCAAATTGAGGCAAACAGAAATGAGTAATAGCAATCAAAGGGAAGAGTACATTTAAAGGTCATATCACAGATGAACAATACTAGTAACGCACCTACATATAACCCCTTAATTTGATTTCACACACAAGCTATTTGATTACATCAGAAGTGCCTGGAAATTTTTTTGTGCGACTAACTTTGAAAAAATGAGTCTTTGTGTTTGGTAAAAAGAAAAAAAAAATAGATAATTTAAGAGGCAGCTGTAATCTAATATCATTATTCCAGTTTTTATCCAAACTTGCTTTAGATTTACTGTAGGCCATTATGTGATTTCCAATGATGAAGTAATTTCCATTGAGCTTTAGTGACACAGTCTTATCCATATTTTTAATCTCTCTGAATGAATTTCTGGTGGGCAATAGAAATTTTGCTGGCAATTTCAGCTGGGCCATGATTGCCTTGCACAGAAGCAGTAGAACGGGCAGTCCTCCTGGTTACATGGTTGAGCACTGTAAATAGTTTTGTGCACAATCCAAGACATTTATCCTATCCACCACCACAGGTACTCTCTGCCTCCAAGTATTAAAATATTCTCATTAAGCTGTACCCAACAAGAGCTGACTTCTTCAGGAATTGCATTAGTCCCTTACACACAGCAAGTTATGAAAATGACCTTTAAGAGTAAGGTGTCTTTGGTCTCTGAATTGTATCTTACCCCCCAAAATCATCATCTCTAGTTACAAACCGTTACATCTTTGCCAGTTAAAAGATGCGAATAGAGGATTCCTTTTCTGATGCTATATCTTACTTTTGATTTCAGCTTATAAGTTTCTATACTGTGCAATCTTCTGGGAATGGTCTGTTGTTTTAAAAATGGTGTATAAAAGAGGCTCCAAGAAAAGCTAGAATAGGGGAAAGATGTTCTGAAGCACTGAACAATTTCTACAGTTTCTATCTTTGTAGCTGGCATTTGCCAACTGTTTCATATCTGTGTGGTGATTTATTCTGTACAGATAAAGCAAATGAAACTGCAACAGTATTTATGGCCAGCAACACCAGTCTTTCTGGTCTCTGTCAGTGTGAAAAGATTTTGTTCTTGTTTGGTCAAACGTATGTGAAGAACAGATCATTGCCTTCCTAGAAGAAAACAAAAATAAAATAAAAGCATTGTTTCAGGGCAAGGAAAACTGGTGATGTTTTCTGAGCGTAATCAGATGGTTATGCTTTCAAAACATGGGTGTGTTCCCAAACTGGCCCAAAGTAACAGAGGAATCCTCGAGAACACAGGTGATGCCATGGAAGTCCCCCTAGCTTTCTTTGGCAATACCATTATTCCTCTCTTGAATGCAAACAGCTTGGAACTGGGGTATTATTCAAAATAAGAATGGAAAAAATAAGCATGGAGTACCTATGAATCACTTCAGAGAAGTACTGAAGCCTGTGGCGATACATGGACACAAAGGGCTAAGACAGACCTGAGGGTGTCTGAAGAAACTCATCTGCCCTTTCCTACACTACATGCTGGATTTAGGATATTGCTTGGTTAGTTTTAAAATGATCCTCATGGACTCCAGCTACTCCCTGTAATCTTTTCATAAGTGGGGGATCTGTGATGTGTGGCTTTGCTTCTGTATTTGCCGTTCTGGCTTTCTAGATGCTTAAATTTTCACTTGGATGGCCAGATGAAATGTTCCGAATGGCTTCACTGCCCAATTATACATTTGTGTGTGTGTGTGTGTGTATACATACACATAAAATTTATTTAAAATTGTTTCAAAATTTATATAAAATTGTTTCTGCCAGAAAATATCTTCCTTCTTATTCCTCCCATTTTATTTCAAGTACCTGTTTAAGTGCAACAAGATAAATTGCCTTCACTGTCCTCCAGTCTTCAGATAGTAGCTGTATCCAGTTGAAAATGAAAATGTTTCTATCAATCAAAGGAGATTAGATTAAATTAAGAAAAAATAATGTATTAGGTATAAGAGTACAAAAATATTAAACTCAGATGGTTTGGCACAGAAGTATTGGGATAAAGTAATGATGCACTTTTTTTTTTCCCAACTAAGTCAAACAACATCCTGTTGTTTTCCTGTGTATTTTACCAAGGGGTTTTAGTTGTGCAAATGGGATAAAAAGTTATGTATTAATGAGATATAATTGCTTGTGATGTTCAATCAAAAATGGGAAAAAAATGTAAGAAGTAAGCTGATATTTGAACTTTCAAACCTGTCATGTCTTCAGTTTGAATAACTACAAATGCCTGCTTAAAGATCTGTGTGCTAGTATTTGCTGCTAAAAACATCGAGTTTGTGTGTTTATGAGAGTCCTAAGTTTTGAAGCCGCCTGTAAATTACTCTGTATGTGTTTGTGATGGCTTTAGTATGATTTTGTATAGGGAAAAATAGAGGGTCATACAAGGGAAGTTCCACAGCAGCATTGCTTTTGCTTGGGGAAGCAGAGGAAGTAACGCTTTCCTATCACCTTCACGCAGAGAAGTGTCCTGATACAGGATTAAGGCAGAACAGAATTAACTAAAGCTATGCACTCTCATTTCCACCCTGGCTCACAGACCTGGGCTGTGCAACAGAAGGATGGATAGAGGGAGGGAGGGAGGGAGGGAGGGAGGGATGGGGAAAAAAGATAACTGACCTCTCTCCCTGAGATTTTTGCCTTCCAGAGGCAGTGATCCTTCCCTTTGCCCTGCAGGCAGCTCAGAGTGGGAGAAGTCAGAAGATGGCACTCAGTCAAAGAGGACCTTGCTATTCAGACTCTCAAATTTAGGGACACCGCTTAGATACTTCACTAGGAGTTAAGGCAAGGTAGTGAGGTTTAAACTCTCTGCTCTGTGTTTCTATGACCTTAACAGTTGAAGGAGCACAAAGCAGGTGACATAAAACATGAAATAATCAGTTTTGTGGCTGTGGCATTGAGGTATTTTGTGTGAGTGGTCTGGAGGGAAATCGGCACAAGTGAGCAGAAATACATGGGTGTAACTTTGGGCAGATACAGAATTTTTTTGCAGATCGCTAAGCTAAATGAAAAGATTTTTAAGACTTTTTCAAGTATTTAATGGTCCTCTGTTTTGCCAAGAAAAAGGGCTTGGTTAAAATCCTGAGTCTATAGTGAGGTAAACTAAAATTTAGCATTTACTTTGCAAGCAGTATAAGGCCTATCATAATGCTAAACACATGTGCAAATAAAAGGCCTCTGAAGCATTTGTAATAGAGATTTCTGATCCTCACTTTTTTATTTTATCCTCCTGGTTTATTCACTTGTACTAACACTTTTTCCTTTCTGTACAGAGAACGGTTCCAAGTCTTTCTGCTACTGTAAATTATACTGATCCTACATTAGAGCCTGTAGTAACTGAAAATTCAGTCATACGACAGAAGATAATAGATTCACAGTTCAAATGCTATGAGAGGATGAACAGAGCTCCTCCGTATAAGAAAAAAGGTAAAAAGGTTTAAAAAAAGGTCTGTTTGTGTATTGCCACTCTTGCTTATATCACTATAAATATTTTCTTCTGCATACTAACCCATAGTTTTCCTCGGGGTGCAGTTTCCTTCCTGTAAGCAGTGGTCAAATTCACACTAACTTCGCATCCTCTTAAGCTGAACAGCTCTTCCTCACCGTGCAGATGGTACCCCTGTCATCTACATTTCTGGCTCAGTGCTTTGCTGCTTGAATATCTCTTGTTCTTGCTTAGGGAATGGCATTCTCCAGAACCTTTCAGCAAGCTCACACAAAGACCTGATTGTGAACAGTGATCTCTTAAATATAAATGCCATTCTGCTTGCTTCACTCACTGTTTTGTTTTCCTGTCATTCTTCTATTGACTGATAGCTGCCATGCTCTGTACCAGCACAGATATGCCAGGTATTCCATATTCAGCAGTGACACTAGCAAAAAGAGGTTTATAAAGCACTGTGGATACATCTTTATTGAATACGAGGCACATATTAAGATTAATGAAAAAGGAAATGGCAAATAATAATGGTGCTACAATAGCACAATATAAATGAAGCAGCATTTCTGGTTGGGACTGAGCGTTCCGGTCACTTTTTCTCACAGAAAATATGGAAGAAGTTAGGAGGAGGTTAGAGAAAAAAATATGGGAGGCATTGTGGGGATTTATACAAGTAAAGAGCAGAGATACTGAGGGCATAGTTTGAAGAGAAAATATATTAAAAAATCATGATTAAAAAGCCCCAACGTAATAGATGGGATGGAGATAATGTGGGATTTTTTGTAATACAAGAACACAGACATTTCTATAGCTCTTTACCATAAAGATTTTATTGGGCTCTGTAAGACTCAAAGAATTAGATGTTAAGATACTCAGGTCTTGATGCAGAAATGTTTTTGAATGAATATAGAGATTCCCATTGCTTCAAATAGGTTTTCATTCAGGCCAATAATGGGGAAAACCCACAAGTATTTAAACAGGGTTATGGGATAGAAAGCATCATGTTTCAGACATAAACAAGCCTTTACTTGCTGGGCTTGAGGGGGAGATAACTTACTGTCTGCTCAGATCAGTCTTAGTCTCCAGCTCTATAAATTTGTAATTTTTGCATGCATTGATAGTTCTGCTGGATTAACCTTTCTTTTGCACCTTGCTCATGTGGTTAGTTGCAAAGGGCTGCAACTGGCATGAGCTGGGAATTCGAATGTCTCATGACATATGAATTCCTGGTAGTGTTCTCAAGGGCAGCGTTGTCCCAGGAGGACAGCAGTGGCAGACCCGCAGCCATCAGACACAGCACAGCAGTTCCTGCACTGCTTTGACTGGCAGCTGGATTTAAGTGATGCCATTGGGGACTGTTATGTTCATAGCAAAATGCACTGAATTTATTTATAAACCAGAATGAAGATAATGGGTGACTAAGAAATTATGCCAACACTACTGAAGTTGCTTTTTCAACTGAATTACAGCATCGTCACCAGCCCTCCAACATTTACACTTCATACAGGGTTGGAAGGGAGCAAGGGTCTAAGTCTCTTGGCTGCAAATTTGAAAGGAGGATGGGATGAGGTGGGAAATTCCTTTAATGCAAAGGACAACCGTAGGCATGTCTCCTGAGAGGAAAAGCCCAACACATGAACTGAAGGGGTATACTGGGTATGCATTTTCAGCACAAACAGTAGTGGAGTCTAATATCAAAGTTCCCAGGAAAGCCCAGTGTCTGGTACAACTTCACAGAGCCAGCCGAGATGTGTCTAATTTTTCCCTGGTATTGCTGCAGTCCCTGATGGAGCCTATTGGTAGACTGGCACAAAGGTAGTTTAAATCCTTCATAATCCTGGGGCTCAAAGCTGATGTCAATGAACTGCAGAGTATCTCACACTCAGGAGCCAGAGAGATGGTATAATACAGGTGAGCTGTGGCAGCAATACAAGTAGCCATGTGTCAGCAGAGCCAAAGTAACAGACCATGTACACTCACTTATCTTGCCCATTTCAAGGCAGAGTTGATTAGCTTCAATCCCAAAGAAATAACAAAATGAGGAGCTCAGGCACATGGGAACACCTGACCATCCCTCCGGGACAACGCAACACTCCCGCACTTCCTGTCCATCCAAAAAAGTAATATTTTTAGCTGGTGATACAACAGTATGGTGCTCAAGTCTTCCTCTTCTGCTTTATTACTTACATTTTTTTACTTCCTGCAGGACTTAAAAAACATATGTATGTATGTGTGTGTAGATCTATATGTGTGTGTGCACATGTATATATTTATGGATGTATCTGTGCATATATATCCTGTTACTTACCACAAATGATACATTCCACAATGTATAGATCAACATCAGTGATTTTTTTTCTTTATCAGGCAAGGCAAAGGATTTAAAGCTAGAAATTCCTACCAACCCCATTCTGCAGTATCTTTCAGATACAAGTTCAAGTTGCAAATATTTTCTACTCTTCTTTTTCTTTGATATTACAAATAGATTCCTAAAAGTCTTTCAGATACATCTCAAAGCTAGAGAAGAACATGAGAATGCCTGAAGGAAAGATAACAAACTGCTGATATGATGGTTGGTTAATTAGGTGAACAAGTAGCATTAACACATTCAACTTGACAATGGAAAAATAGCTGTGCATAAAATCTTAGCTAATGAAGAAAAGTGTTTAAAAAATATCTTTTTTGCTAGACATCTGATCTGGAAAAAATTCATTTGTAACATTTTATGCTTTCAATTTTTAATCCACAACTATTTTGACTTAAAAACAGTTATTGATGCAAATTTGAACAATTCAGATGTCTTTTTACAGCTTTCTTGCTTCAGTAAGAAAGCTTATCTGTGGATAGTTTCAAAAGCACCAGAAGCAATTAGCTGCCCATGTTTTATTAACTTTCAATGGTTATTAGGTGCCTTCCATATGATTCTTTCAAAAACAACCTACATGGTCATAGCAGCAATTCTGAAACTCCCTTGGGACCACAGCAAAAAAGGCAAGATGTATCTTCTCACTGTATTTCCCTTTAACCTGATGGTCATGATGATAAATACCTTTTCCCCAACACAAACTGATTTTAAATGGAAAATAACTAAGAAGTATAGGGCAGTTTTTAATGTGTTACCTGAATAAATCCACAATGAGTCAGAAAATCGCGTTATAGCAAGCAGTCTTATAATGCAGTTTCTGTGGCCCATAGTATGTAACACCTCTGTAATGGGAATCAAGAATGAGCTGTGTTCTGCCTCCCTACTATGGCCATCGTTTCTGGGGCTGGGAACAGTCCTTGCAGGGGACACAACCTCGACAGTGCTACCTTCCCAGAAAGGGCATGATGAGGAGAGGATCACAGCATGCCTACCCGGGCATCAGCAGGCAGAGTTTGCCTGTTACAGATTGGTCGTGCACCTGCTTCACTGGATCTGTAGCTATGTCACTGATCTCTAGCATTGAGCAACGCAACAACCTTAAAGACAGGAAAGTGTCTCTGCAAATGTTGCTTTTAGCTGGGACATCCCTGCAAGCCCTTCCTACCTTTACATTTCAAAGACTTGATTTTCAGACCTGCTGAGCAGCAGAAGGTGAAATGAAAAGTGGATGTCTATAAGGTCTTTAGGTACCACTAGTGTACACACTTATGGCCAAGGATGGAAGGAGGATCAAAAAGAGGAATTTGCACGATCAGACCCTCCATTCAAATTTTAGTTCAACAGGCTTTAAAACATTATTTTCCAGCAAAATGAACACCACTAACATCATGTCAGCAAAAAAAAGTACCTTGTAGCACCTGAATGCCACTCAAAGTGTCGCAATAACAAGGGCTTTTACTGCAAAAAGAAAACATGATTTTCTGCTGATGGCAATATTCCTTGAGAGGCTAGAACAGAGTGGGTTCAGGAGTGACTGTGTGTTGAATTAACACCTGCATTCCTGTTAAATGTCCAGGTCTGTTCTGCAACCGAACGTGGGATGGCTGGTTGTGCTGGGACGACACGCCTGCTGGAAGAATCACTGCTCAGAATTGTCCGGATTATTTTCCAGACTTTGATCCAACTGGTACATATTTCTTTTTATCATCTTGTCTTTTGAAAGAAGTCTTCAGAACATTAATGCCACTGAATGGAAGCATGTTTCCAGTGGCATTTTTGAAGCATTGTGAAATCTTAGAGAGTTTGGCTGAAATTAAAATGGGTTGCTTAATTTAAAATATTGTAAAATATTTTATGTGTATTTATATTTATATAAGTATAACCCATGGATTTATGCAACCTAGTTTATGAAAATATTAACTACTTAGTTATAATATCAAAACATTTTTAGCACCTCATACTAATTTTTTATAATGAAGAGAAAATGCTTATGTGCATGAAATATGTATCAGCATGTTCTTTGTTCAGTTTTTATTGGAAAATAACATTTTATTGAAGAAAATGACCAGAAATAATGTTCTTTCCATCGCCAAGTTTCAGTTGTTCATTGAATTCTTCATACAAATATTAGCAGCCACGCAGATGAAGAAGCAATTCAAGAACATTTTAAAGGACAAATGAAAGGAAAGATCAAGCACAGAAATACTGCTAAATAGATATGAAGAAATATTAGACGCAAGTATAAGTCCACAAAGGGTATTGTTTGAAGAAATGCACAGTTGTGTGTTCCACACTACATGTTGCTTGTAGGCAGTGCTTGATGCCACAGCGCGCTAAATCCAGCATAGACGCAGTGTACCGATTGCAATTAACAACTATGAAACTAAACATTTGGGGGGGAGGGTATATAAATCTAAAAATTTTCAACAAGGTTAAACCAATATGTGTGTGCCCAACTGAAAGGTAAGCAAACAGACTATTGCATAGCTGTGAATAAATTACCCAGTACCATTAGCTAAAACTGTTGATTTTGTTGAGCTTGTTGCCTATTCAGAAACAGAGGAGTTTCTAGGTTGGATCAGACCCAGTATGCATTTTGCTGAATCCCATTTGCAGTAGCAGCCAGATTGATCGATATTTCTGTTCTTTACAAATCAAGGTATCCACAATTAGAGAATTCACCCAGCAACTGGGAAACTTCCAGTATCAGCCCCAGTCTGAGGGGATTCAAACCTGCATCCCAACTTTGATAGAGGAACCTCTCCCTTTCCAATGGAAGCAGGCATTGACAGGATGGATTGAAGGATTTGTGTGCCTGGAAAGTGAGCTCACATGGCAGTGTGACTGTCCATGTCTTGTGGGAATACCCTGAGCCCTACCCCACAAACCTTTACAGCAGTTTACATCCCTGAGACAGACAACAGGCACCAAATCACAAAGTCCTGCCTTTTGCGACCTTTTTTCCTTTCTGACACACTTAGTCTTGACCTTTTTTCTGTACAGTGTCATAGATTTCAAGGAGGAGTCTTGAAGGGCCACACTTGTGGCTAATCATTGGAGCACCTTGGGGGAGACAGGCTGAGGAGCTGAGACCCTCAGCTGGAGGGGTGCCTTTGACCTAGGTCTCCCTCTCTGTGGACAAGTGCTTCAACCATCAGGCTCTTTGCACAAAAGATGCCAGAAGAACATTTTCAAAGAATTGGCCAAATTTGGTTCAGTTCCCAGACAGAAGTGTCCACGTTCAGGAGAGAGCTTGAGGTTCTGGATCCTGAGGTTGCACAAGCCTTTTCCTACATGCATGTTGGAGGTGCCTCTTGGATGAGGTCTGTACCTTCCGCTTCCACCCCCATTTTGTTCATGATATCCTGCCCATGTGGCAGCAGCCTCTTTGATGAATAGGAAAATTTACTACAAGGCTTCTGCTTTCCCTGCTTCCATGGTTTTCATAGAAAATAAAAATAGTGGCACTAACAGTCCTAGTTTATGTATACTCCGTGCGCAGCTCAGCTTACACCTGCAAAAGTAGCTGTTGGGCAGCCCTGTGATCACAGATGTTTCCCCACGACTCATGGTCCTCATTCTTCAGTGCATGGGGATGATTACAGAGCCGTTCTACTCATTCCCAAGCCACTAATTCCCAGCTTTTCCACTTGCTTGCTTGCCTCCAGTGACTTGTTCTGAACTAATTGCTCTGCTACAACACCACTATTCAAAGTAGCACTTGAAGCTCTCCATGGAGAAGCACTTCACTCCACTTTTAATGCTTATTAACGCCAAGGTCTGTGGCTTGTACAACTGATTGCAAACCACTCCTTAAGGTACAGATGTATGCTGCAGAGTCTGGCCCACAGTGTGTGCGTACTGTGGTTACTCTTTCTGCCACACTTTAAAACTTGCAGATTGGGGAATTTTTTAGTATTCATGTTCTCTGTACACAGCCATAGAAGGCAAAGCCAGCTCCAATAATTAATTTCCTACTGTCCTCTCTGCCATTCCGTTTAGGAACAATACCTTCGGGACTCTGTATTTTCCCCTGGCACATCTCTCTTCTCCTTGCCAACTTCTTTGCCTGCATCCTGGTCAGCCAACACTGTTTCCCAGGCTCGGTAGCAGCTCAGCATCTCCTGGTTGAGTCAGAGCCGCTTTCCTAGAGTAGCTGTTGAGTAACCCAGCTGTGATGGGTTGACCCTGGCTGGACGCCAGGTGCCCACCAAAGCCGTTCTATCACTCCTCCATCCTCAACTGGACAGGGGAGAGAGAAATATAACAAAAAGCTTGCGGGTCGAGATAAGGACAGGAGAGATCATTCACTAATTACCGTCACAGGCAAAACAGACTCAGCTTGGGAAAATTAGCTCAATTTATTACAAATCAACCAGAGTAAGGTAATGAGAAATAAAACCAAATCTCAGAACACCTTCCCTCCACCCCTCCCTTCTTCCCGGGCACAACTTCACTCCCGGATTTCTCCACCAAGCCCCCCCAGCGGCGCAGGGGGACGGGGATGGGGTTTACGGTCATCACACGTTATTTTCTGCCACTTCAACCCTCCTCAGGGGAGGGCTCATCACATTTTTCCCCTGCTCCAGCGTGGGGTCCCACCCATGGGAGACAGTCCTCCACGAACTTCTCCAACGTGGGCCATTCCCATGGGCTGCAGTTCTTCATGAACTGCTCCAGCATGGGTCCCTTCCATGGGGTGCAGTCCTTCAGGAGCACACTGCTCCAGCGTGGGTCCCCCACGGGATCACAAGTCCTGCCAGAAAACCTGCTCCGTGGGCTCCTCTCTCCACAGATCCGCAGGTCCTGCCAGGAGCCTGCTCCAGCGTGAGCTTCCCATGGGGTCACAGCCTCCTTCGGGCACCCACCTGCTCCGGCGTGGGGTCCTCCCCGGGCTGCAGGTGGATATCTGCTCCACCGTGGACCTCCCTGGGCTGCAGGGGGACAGCCTGCCTCACCATGGTCTTCACCACAGGCTGCAGGGGAATCTCTGCTCCGGGGCCTGGAGCATCTCCTCCACCTCCTTCTTCACTGACCTTGGTGTCCGAAGGGTTGTTTCTCTTACATGTTCTCACTCCTCTCTCCGGCGGCTGTTTCTCACTGTACCAACTTTTTTCCCTTCTTAAAAATGTTATCACAGAGGCGTTACCACTATCACTGATTGGCTCGGCCTTGGCCGGCGGCGGGTCCGTCTCAGAGCTGGCTGGTATGGGCTCACTCTCTCTCGAACACAGGGGAAGCTTCCAGCAGCTTCTTACAGAAGCGACCGCTGTAACCCCCCCCGCTACCAAAACCTTGCCACACAAAACCGATACACCAGCACATATTACATCTGCAGCATCAAACCAGCAGGTAGCCAGCCTTTGCTTTACAGGTGGCTGATTGTCACACAGGGACTTAATAATGTAGGAGGGAGACAAGAAATCGTGGGGGTGACTAGAAGTCTTTCAACTGCTAATGGTAGTGGCTGCCACTGACAGGTGGCCAAAAGCACAGGTTCAGCCATCCTGAGAAGTCTGTCAGGTTTTGTGCCACAAGTCATTATTTCCTTCGGTTACTTATGCCTGTTAAACAAAATACAGCTAGATTTTCTGATGAGAAACAGAAAATTCATCCTAAGAACCATGATTTTAGAAGATGAAAACTACAGTGCCTGTCAGATTTCCTTCCCATTAAGTCTCTCTGATATCAAACCACCTCAGCATGTATTTTAGGCATACAAGTAACTCCACGGACTTCTGAAACAAGGATTTCATGCTGTGCCGCTGTGGGCTGCACTGAGATCTGCAAAACCACTATGTATCAGCTCACTGATGGCTAAGTTACTTTCATTTGAGGCCATGCATAGCTTTGAGTCCTGCAATAAAATGATGTCATTCAGCTTGCTTTTTGTGCTTTGATACGTATGTCATTTGTAACTGGAAAAGTGAAATGTTATCTGGTAGCATAGGATCGGATCCTCCTCCCATCGGCACCTGTGGGTGCTGTATACCAGCTCTCTATATCTGAACACTCAACAACATTCAGCATCGATGCCAAGAAGAAATTGCTAGAGTATGTTAGACAGTAAATAAGGTGAAATCATATTCTGGAGAAAAGGACCCAGAAGCAAAATGATGGAGAACATGCTCAGTGCTCTGTTCATTTTCTCTCTGACAACTTCATAACTAACTACCAAATGTAGTCCCACTTATCTCACTGAACTTACATCAGTTCTTACTAGAAAGGAATCTGTGTTCTGAAAGAAAGAAGGACAACTGCGATAATCTAGTCTGTTCAGTTAGCTAGGGCTTCCCACACTTCTTTCCCCACCTGAGGAAGCTCTGTCCTGTGAAAGGAAATTAGTATCTTAAAGCTAACAGACAAACAGAAACCCCTCTCTACAAGCTGTGACAATTTTGTCTTTTCAATAAACAGCTCTTGTCTCTTGTAGCAATTTCTTTCTCACAATGACCACCATGTGCAATGTGATAATGCATAAACCCAAATCAATTCGTCTGTAAAACATACCAAGACCTACTGCTTTAACTCCAGTGACAGCAGGAAATAAATTGTCTCATCTACTCCTGACTGAGAAGCTCTGAGCAGGGCTGAGTTTTATACTCCCCTATTCAGGCAACATGCACAGTTTCTCTTGAATTATGTTTTATATTCCTATTTTATCCAGGTTAATTTTTGGTGTAATCC